GGAGGGAGACGAGAGGGAACGAGGAGGAGGAAAAAGGTGAGCGAGAGGGAGGAGAGTGCGACGAAGCCGGTGAGAAAATGAGCGCCAGCAGTCGGAAAGTGGAGATTTCTTAAAGTGTTCAGTTATTAAATCCATAGAAATGATAAATATGTGATATATTGCATTTTTTTACATTAGTAAATCATTTTACATACAGTTTTGCATTATTTTGGTTATAAATGTACTCTACGCAAGAGAAAATCTGAGGAGCCACTTGGGAGCCGAAAAAGCCGGCTCTTTTTGGTGAGCTGAGCCAAAAGAACCGGCTCTCTAAAAAGAGCCGGAATTCCCACCACTACCGTAAATCCTCCAATACAGGCCGGTATTCAATTAAAGGCAGGGTCTCCAAGTTTGGCCGGTGTTGGAGTCAGCGGAGGTAAATAATGGCCGGTCTCTTATTGTGGCCGGGTGGAATGTGGTAACAAGCAAGTATGAGCGTCCCAGGGTTATAGTCCCCAAATCAACCAGCAGGAGGCAGTAGAGGTTCACGCAGACCTTTATTAGGCTTTTTCTTCAATGCTTTGTAACGCTACAGACACGATCCTCTATCACGCTCCTACCACACAGAGTCACGGTGTCAGTTAACCATGCTAATTCAACCCGCTCCACAGAGCACACATCACCTTCCCTGTGGCTTACATAACACTCACACAACACGCAAATCAGCACATAGGAACTAGCAGAACGATAGGAAACACATATAACCCAATACCCAGAATGCACCTGGCTTACAACCCCAGCCAGGTCATTACACTATCAAGTTCAAAGAGAACGTGCTGATTATGCTGCAGAACACTCTGGAGAGCAGCAGTAGGGGGTGTATGAACTAGTCAACTTCACTATAGTGACTTTTTATGCCTGTCGTCGACTAGTCGCTGTCACGTGATAATGACCGGCAAGATGCAGCCCTCGGAAAAGACAGCAGCCTGCTGTCAGCAGGTGACAAGCTTCTGCGCTCAGGGGGTGGGGGGCAACGCGCTGTGCCAGGCCGTAGGTACTGACACGCAATTGTTCATGTCGGTTCATTTTAGGGCTGGGGGTAAACGATTATTTTTAAAACGATTATTCTGACGATTATTTTATCGAATAGTCGACTATTCTAATGACTATTTAGACAATTAATCTAATGATTATTTTTCTATTGCCCAGTTAATAAAAACCAAAAAAATCTCTAATAAATTCCTCAAAAAAATTGATAAATTGTTACTGTAAGAGAATAAACACTACAGGCCTTCTATTTTGTAAAACACTGCTTTTATTGTGTTGGTTGGTTATGTTCTGGTGACATGTTGAACTTGGGAGTGCAGGCTGCTGCCTGAGAGGTGGTCGGAGAGACGGAGTGTCTCCATACTGCTTTGTTTTGGTCACTTATGTGCGTGAGGCGAGTGGTGTTACGACTCTTCCTGGGGAGTTTGGCTCGTGTGCAAAAAGGAAGGGACAATAACGGGATTTAAAAGTTAAAATGATGATCAGGTTTATTTACAACTACAAAAAAACATAAACCTTTCCATCCACAGGTTGGGAATAATAAAACTAATTCTGCCTGTGGGGAATTAAAACAAAAGTACAAATAAGTAGGGATGTCCAACTGGGCAAAGATTACAGGGTTCTGGAGCAAAATAAGAATCTCCAAAGGTCCAAACTCTAAACTGGGTGGTTAAACCAAACTCAAGGTGATATCTTAAACGAAACCAAAAACCCACAACACTCTAAATGTAATAAAAGGGAGATCTACGCCACAAAAAAAGATTAACTCTAAACCAAAACGTAACAGCTTATCCCAACGCAAGAAGCTGTTAGCGAAAATGCTAACAGTAGCTTTACCAACGTTAATTTGAAGTTACCAAGTTTAAATAAACCAAAAACACCCAGCGGCAAACAGACCAGCACGGAGGAGAGACTGCTACCACCAAAACAGCTCTCCTAATGTCTGAAAGAAGCTCCCTTATGAAGGGAGAAACGCTCCAGGTGATTTTCTACATCTGCGATAGACACGAAGCAGCGCATCTGACCCCGGAAGTTGTTGTCCGTTGCCGGGAGATGAAGGCCGGCAAAACAGGAAAGGAATCTAATAGTGGACGGACATTGTTCCGGGTCTTCGGTATTTGGCGGAGATGTTAGTGAAGGCGGAGAAGAGAGCGAACTGGAGGAAAAACAAGCAGATTCCTCCTCTATTTACAAACTCCTGGGGATGCAACAAGTGGTCGCGGTGCGTCGACTTCCGGATCTGACGTCGACAAATTTTTAGAATCGAGCCGTCGACGTCATCGAGGCGTCGCTACAGCCCTAGTTCATTTCCTTTAATGTTTTCTGTCTTTTATTTGCGCCTGATGTGTATCGCTGCTGTGGAGCGGGGCGCATCAACTTGTCCTCTGACGCACAGATCACTGATGCGGCCGGCAAGCAGGGAGCGCTCCGCTGTTTTCGCGGTCGGTAGATCTGCCTCCTGAGCACGGCCACAGTAACAATCAGGTGTCGCCACCTCAAAAACTAATTTAACACGCGATCGTTCATGTCAGTTCATTTCCTTTAATGTTTTCTGTCTTTTATTTGCACCTGATGCGTTTCGCTGCATGCTGTGGAGCGGGGCGCATCACCTTGTCCTCCGACGCACTGATCACTGATATGGCCGCCAAACAGCAAGCGCTCCGCTGTTTTTGCTGTCGGTAGATCTTTTAGAACTGCAGTTCAAAGGTAACTCATGAGGTGAATATATATGAACCCAGGTAGCAGTTTCTCTTTAGGATTGAGAGGAGATGCAGGAAGATAATAAACAGGCAGGACAGAAAAATTGTCAAATAAAAACAAGTTAGTTTTTGTACCTGGTGGTTGCAACAAACAGACACCATTGAAGGTCATCAGAAGTGAGGAACAGAAAATGAAATAATTATTTTAATGTTTAGAGCAGCAGGAACTCCGAGAGGCTGCAGGCGCATCAGTGAGTTTGCGGCCGCTGCGCAGGGGGAGGGCTGAAGCAGAAACTACCGTTGTTAAAAGAAATGTGTTTAACTTTGAAAATGTGGGCGCAATTTTAATTGTCAAAAACTCCAACGAACCATTAGTTCATTTTGCTCAATTAGAAATAGAGGCCTGCCTCTAATACTGGCCCTTCTTCCAATAAAGGCCTGGAGCTTGATGAGCTTGAGTCAAATACAGGCCCGGGTCTGTATTAGAGGATTTACGGTAATTACTATTTAAAAAATGAAAGTGATGGGGAGAAAGGTCAATCATATTTTTTTAACCCTGTCTGTTTAGCTTGATGCCTGATATATATACAGGTGCTGGCCAGTAAATTAGAATATCATCAAAAGGTTGAAAATATTTCAGTAATTCCATTCAAAACGTGAAACTTGTACATTATATTCATGCAATGCACACAGACCAATGTATTTCCGATGTTTATTACGTTTAATTTTGATATTTATAGGTGACAACCAATGAAAACATCAAATCTGGTATCTCAGAAAATTAGAATATTCTAAAGGCCAATGAAAAAATGTTTGTTTCTCTAATGTTGGCCAACTGAAAAGAATGAACATGAAAAGAATGTGCATGTATAGCACTCAATACTTAGTCGGGGCTCCTTTTGCCTCAATAACTGCAGTAATGCGGCGTGGCATGGACTCGATCAGTCTGTGGCACTGCTCAGGTGTTATGAGAGCCCAGGTTGCTCTGATAGTCGTCTTCAGCTCCTCTGCATTGTTGGGTCTAGCGTATTGCATCCTCCGCTTCACAATACCCCATAGATTTTCTATGGGGTTAAGGTCAGGCGAGTTTGCTGGCCAATCGAGGACAGGGATACCATAGTCCTTGAACCAGGTGCTGGTGGTTTTGGCACTGTGTGCAGGTGCCAAGTCCTGTTGAAAGGTGAAGTCTGCATCCCCATAAAGTTGGTCAGCAGCAGGAAGCATGAAGTGCTCTAAAACTTCCTGGTAGACGGCTGCATTGACCCTGGACCTCAGGAAACAGAGTGGGCCAACACCGGCAGATGACATGGCACCCCACACCATCACTGACGGTGGAAACTTTACACTGGACCTCATGCAACGTGGATTCTGTGCTTCTCCGCTCTTCCTCCAGACTCTGGGTCCTTGATTTCCAAAGGAAATGCAGAACTTGCTTTCATCAGAAAACATAACTTTGGACCACTCAGCATCAGTCCAGTCCTTTTTGTCCTTGGCCCAGGCGAGACGCTTCTTGCGCTGTTTCTTGTTCAAGAGTGGCTTGACACACGGAATGCGACACCTGAATCCCATGTCTTTCATGAGTCTCCTCGTGGTGGTTCTTGAAGCGCTGACTCCAGCTGCAGTCCACTCTTTGTGGATCTCCCCCACATTTTTGAATGGGTTTGTCGTCACAATTCTCTGCAGGGTGCGGTTATCCCTAGAGCTTGTACACTTTTTTCTACCACATTTTTTCCGTCCCTTCGCCTGTCTGTTAATGTGCTTGGACACAGAGCTCTGCGAACAGCCAGCTTCTTTAGCAATCACCTTTTGTGTATTGCCCTCCTTGTGCAAGGTGTCAATGATTGTCTTTTGGACAGCTGTTAAGTCAGAAGTCTTCCCCATGATTGTGGTGCCTTCAAAACAAGACTGAGGGACCTTTTAAAGGCCTTTGCAGGTGTTTTGAGTAAATCAGCTGATTAGAGTGGCAGCAGGTGTCTTCTATATTCAGCCTTTTCAGAATATTCTAATTTTTTGAGATACCAAATTTGGAGTTTTCATTAGTTGTCACTTATGAATATCAAATTTAAATGTAATGAACATTGGAAATACATTGGTCTGTGTGCATTGAATGAATATAATGTACAAGTTTCACGTTTTGAATGGAATTACTGAAATATTTTCAACCTTTTGATGATATTCTAATTTACTGGCCAGCACCTGTATATATAGCCATGCCCTGATGTGGGGGCTGGGGGGTGCGCAGCTAAATAAGTTTGGGAACCGCTGCTATAGAACGTTTAGCTCTGCATTAACTGGTGTAACAGAATGTGAGGGTAAAACACACAAACAAACAGTGAGTAAGGTAAAAGGAAACCAACCTGCAAAGCCTCCTCCTGGAATCTCAGCACCAGCTGACTGGCTGGACCCCGCTGCTTAATCATACAAAAACAACCAAACACACACAATCACACATACACTAAGTCACTGGAAAATAACGGCTCAATATCAAAATAAGACACAAATGAACACAGTTCATGACAACAAGCTGGTATCAGCTGACAGAACAAGCTGAAGTAGGTTTTCAAGTAGGTGACCCATGAAGATTATTTAAAGCAGACGGTGTTGAAAAAGCAAAAAAGGTAGGATCAAGAGCAGAAATACGCTAAAGCGACTCACGTTTTTCTGCAGCGTCGCCCACAATGATCTTCCCGCCCCTTTTGCTGGTCTTCTCCACAGACAGGGCCGTGCTCAGGCCTTGCTCGTGCTTCCCCAGACCCTGACCTTCTTTGAAGCCGTACTTCTGCATGATCTTATGGGCCACCGTACCTCTGTTTGAAGTACACCATTAAGGCAATTTTAGTTTTTTTTTCCTTCTACTAGAAGTGTTTTAAAAGTTTAAACTCAAATGGCTGACCCACCCCATGTTTGCCAGGAAGGAGCTACTTGGTAAAGGAGGCGAACGGGGCCGATCGGAGTCTTCATACATGGGTGGAGGAATGGCTGCCTTGGAGCCTCTGGCAGGACGACCTTCATCTTCATAAGTATACGAAGAACCTAAACAGTTTATAAAGACACAATTATTCCCTTTGATAAGGAGAATTCTAACATGTTTGTTTAATGAAAATGATGATGTAAAATCATTAAAAAAAATACATCTGTTTTACAGGTCTTTATTTCTAGGCCAATGCTGCCCTCTGCTGCACGACTGCTGCATTAACTGAGGCAGCGTTTGGTCTGGATTCATCTCTCATTTGGATCAATTTGACCCTGGTTTCAGATTTGAAAACTAGATATGAAATCTAGTTTGTACTTTTGCACTTTACATTCAAACATTCAGCCTTTTTAGTCCATACAAATTCTGCTGATTTCAGAAGATAAATGTTGACAAAACCATCAATATCAGTAAATAACAGTTTTCGGCCATACAGCAATATTGTTAACGGATATCGACTTCTTTGTTTGCTCTCCAAGAAACCAAAGAAGTCCAGTTGCCTTCATTTGAAACCTTTGGATTACCATGATCTGGATGACTGAGAACCTTCACCAGCACATATTTAAAAACTGGAGCTCATTAATTAGGCCATCATTTATTTAAGTCAGGTAGTCCAAATGACAGCAGGGAGGCTCGCTAGATGTTGCACACATAGGCAGTGGGTATTATTTTACTCCAACAATCTGAATAGCTGTGTACATGCACGTCAACGGGAATGATGATAGAACAAAGCTACCTCCTCATCTGTGCCCCAGGCAAGCTGGTTCCCAAAGTCAGAGACTCTCTTGGTCAGCTTGCTTCCCACACCAAACCTTCTGTCAGGAATCTTGGCGTGACCTTTGACCCAGCTCTCACCCTGGATTCTCATGTCAGTTCTCTTGTTCACTCTTCCTTCTTCCATCTCAGGAACATTGCTAAGCTGAGTCCCATTCTGTCCTGCTCAGAACTTGAGACTGTCATTTACACCTTCCTCTCCTCACGCTTAGACTACTGTAACTCTCTTTTCACGTGTCTGAGCAGAACCTCCCTGAACCGTCTACAGGTGGTTCAGAATGCCTGTGCTCGGCTTCTGACCAAGTCCGCCAAACACACCCACATCACCCCGCTTCTCCTCCAGCTTCACTGGCTGCCAGTCAACTTCAGGGTTCATTTCAAGATCCTGGTTCTGGTCTATAGGGCCTTACATGGACAAGCACCATCTTACATTGGTGATCTTCTTAGTCCCTACACCCCCAGCAGGTCCCTGAGGTCCAGTGACCAAAGCCTACTGGTTGTGCAGCACCAGGCTAAAGACCAAAGGTGACAGATCATTTGCTGCTGTGGCCCCCAGACTCTGGAACTCTCTCTCCCTGAGCCTGAGATCAGTGGTCTCCTTTAAAAAGCAGCTGAAGACTCACTTGTTCAAGCTGGCTTTTGTATGACCTTCTTCACCACTCTCTCTTTATTCTGCTCTCCCCACCTTTTCCACCTTCCTCGAGATTCACTGATTTCCCTCTTTCCTATTCACTCTCTCTTTCTTTACATAGTTTCTTTTAAATCCCAATTGTCTATTTTTGCTTATTTTAAACATATTTTGAATCAGTTTCTAAATTATTTTTTTATATTTTAAATTTTTTGTTTTTGTGAATCGCCTCGTGATTTTTGAGAGGCGCTATAGAAAAGATTGTTTCTTCTTCTTCAGGGCAGATCCCTGATGCTGGTAATGGTCCAACCCTATTCATTATACTTACCGTCTTTGTCTACAAGTGATGAAGGAGGGGCGATGGCTGCTCCACCCATACCTGACATGAAAAGAAAAAGTATGAAAATAACACACAACTAAGGATAATTTAGCACAACACCAGGGCACTCAGTGATCCTGTCATATCAGTGTAATACTTTGATTAACTGCAGTAAGAATACCACCAGACAAGCCGAAAAACTGTTTAAAACGGATGAAGCAACAAATGTTTGTTAACAAATCAATTGTTGTTGTTACAGCTGTGATAAGTGTGTGTGTGCGTGCGTGTGTGTGTGTGTGTGTGTAGTGTGTGCGTGCGTGCGTGCGTGCGTGCGTGCGTGTGTGTGTGTGTGTCTCCAACATATTGTTTTCTTACATTAGCCTCATTCCAGATGCAAGTCACTTTGGACAAAAGCATCTGCTAAAATTATAAACATAAAGAAACAGGAGAGGTTTTTTGGTGGTTTTCTTATGATAAAAGCTCTGATAACAAAGTCTGATTTGATTTGATTTGGAAGAAACATTTTTAATAATTTTGTTCAGGAGAAATGATTAAAAATGTACAAACTTCAGTTCTGTCTTTAGGCAAATAGAAAGAACTAATTATATTGCTGTAAAAATGACCCTGGTTCTGGTTTAGAAATATACCAGAATGTCCGTTCTTTATTTTTCTGTTAATTTGCAAAAAGTAGTTCATATGAGAAAAATGAAGCATAAGGTTGCATTCATAGGTTTTTAAAAGGATCAAAAACAAAACTCCATCAGATTATTTGGGACCGAAATGTGGTCCAATAACAACAACTTGCTTTTCCTTCAAATCCTGAACCATTCTTTATTTTGAGAATAACTTCTGTTACTAAAACAATCATATGTTGCTGCCTTAAAATCAAGTGAATCCCCAAACAAGTGAAAAAACACCTGCTTTTACAGTAGTTTGTCTCAAATATGTAGAAAAATATTAATGTACTGACAGTTTTAGCAGGAACCAGCTGCGTAAATCAAGTAGAAGAAAACAAAGCTCCTGGGTAAAAAGTGGAATATTCAAGTAAAATCCAAAATAATTAACCAATTCTGGTGCTGGAATAATTACTGATTAACACCAGGTTGTTAGACTTGGGCGGTATTACCGTATACAGCCGGTGTTAAAAAAATAGCAACAGTGTCAGTTCCAATACTGTCATGAAAAAAACAATGATTAAAAATAAAAAAGATAAAGGCCATATAAGTATAAAACGGATGCATAGTTGAACTTAGTTTTACTGAAAAAGTTAAAAACGTTTTGTCCAAATTTTAGAGCTGTTCCATAAAGTTTATGAACGTGATGTCATCAAGTAACAGTGCAGAGATGGCGCACTGAGAGAAAATGGCAGCTTGTGAATCAGCTGGCTTGGTGTCTAAAAAGTGCACAACTGCTGCAGCTTGGGATTATTTCGGGTTTGAAGCAAACATGAATTATGAAATATTCAACCATGATTTTTTTAAACAATTTTTTTCATTCATCTTTAGGTGTGAATGAAACAAATTTCAACAAATATTTTTGCAACATTTAATAATTTACTAATAATGTATCACATGTCCACCTCAGTGGACAGCGTGCATTCTGAATATGAAATATGTTGGCTTGACTTAGTGAAGTCCAAATGGAGGGGCTCAAATGCAATAAAGTCTTTAACAGCTGTTCATAATAGCAAAAATAAATAAAAAAATAAATAACAATTTTGAGTACATGACCACTGTAGTGACCATTATGGATTAAAGGGTTAAAAGGAGAGCCGGTAAACACTGATGAGGTAATTTGTGCAAACAAAAGACGTCAGAGAAAGATGCACGCCCCGTCGGCAGCGCAGAGGAGCGAGCCGTAGCTGAAATAGCAGACTTCTGTTTGGAGCCTGTAACTAAAAGAGACGACAATGCCCTTAGCCTTCCCTAGATGTTGCGACTAGCACCAAAGTACCCTTATGTTCGTGCCACAAGCTCGTCGAAGTGGATGTTTAGCAGTCAGAGGTTAAAGCTGGAAAAAGTAAACATGCTGGTTTTTCAGGCAAAAAACCCTTTTTATAAGTTGCTTTTTTAAAAGTTGCTAATTTTATGTGTGTTATGTTGTTATTGCTTTAATTATAGTGTTTGTTATTCAGTTTCTGAACAGTGAAGATCCAAACCGACTGTTTGGGAATTCCACTTAAGGCTTATGTCATCATTATTAAATTAGTCCAGGTAATACAGTACACCGTGGTACAACCTGGATGCCGCCCATGCCTACAGGTTGATATAATTCACAAGTCACGTGTGAATAAGGTTGCAAACAGACATTCTGGTCAATCTACATATTGTACATAGCAAGATAAAAAGAAGAGCAGCAATTAAAAAATGACAAGGATGTTTCTGATGCACTAATAAAAGACCTAGTTATGATTGTTATATTACCATATTGTTAACACGTCCATGTGTACTCACTTCGTTTCCTCCACTCTTTCTCATATTCTTCCTCCTCCTCTGAGTCTTCCTCTGTAGCTGGGAAACGAGAGAAGCCACTCGGAGCTCCTCCACCACCTTCATGTCTTTCTTTCCTCCTCCTAAAAGAACATCACGTTCAACATTTTTCTCTTAAATGATTCTGAAAGTGGGACTACAGGCGCATCAAGACCCCACAAATAACTATTTTTTATTTGAGCAATCGATTAGGGTGTCAGAAAAAAAGATAATACTTCTCTCTCTCTTCGATCTCCTTCTGACGCTCTTGCTCCCTCTTGCGCTGCTGTTCCTCTCTGTGACGTTTCATCACCTTCTCGTAGTCGTTGGGGAACATGGGGTCGTACTCGTCGGCCAACGGGATGAGCACATCGCTGGAGGAGAAACCACTGGGTGCTGCATCCTAAAGGAAGCATAAGGCAGGACAAGTTATATATAATATATAAATGTATGGATGCAAGACATATTGCAAACCAGTCAAATAACAAAACACAAAAATTAAACAAAAACTAATTATCACAGTACCATGAGAAATTATCAAGTGAGTGGGACAGACCTTGAGTCCAGCTGCTATATGAGGAGGGGTATCAATGTTCTGTCGCTCATCACTGGTTCCTCCTCGCTTTAGATCAATGACCGGAGCTAAAACGGTGCTTTGTTTCATTCGC